CGGTGGAGGTTGAAATAAACAAGAAAAGCCACTGTGGAGATGTGAATGGAAAAGTACCGAGCCCTCCCTCCCTCCGCACATTCTTCCGCTCTCCAGCTCTCCCTGCCATCGAGCTGGCTTCAGATAGGCTTCTGCATGGTCAGGTGTACAAGAGGGCGGTGTGAAGAAGAAAAAAAAAATGCAGGCACAACACGCAAATCAAGTTTTTCCACTTCTAGCCTTAGGTAGTAGAGACAGCTAAGTACAGCAGCCAGTAGCCCAGCAACGGCAGCGGGTGGACCAGCCACCCTGAGTTTACAAACACTGAAGTGCTTTCCTTCCCTCATCCCTCTCAGAGTCCAGCTGCTGCTTTCCTTCATGCTAAGGTTTCACAGGAAGTGAAAACTCTGCTATTCAAAACAGCGATCGAATGCAATAAACAAATCATTACACACCCCCTAACCCCTATCACTTCTCTATTTTAAGCTCCTGATATTTATTTCCATTTTAAGTGAGTGAGAAAAGTGTGGAAAATTAGTGTTTGGGGGTAAACTCTGAGCCAGGCTGAAAAGATTTCTAAAGGAAAAAGAAAAAAAAATCTCAGAACAATAAAGGCTAAAAGCGGGCAGCATATGGATGAAAATTAAACATTAATACTTCCTTTTCAGAAGGCAGTAGCTGGAAATTATATATTTTTTAATGTCTCAAAACTTTCTGCTCCTCTTGCTATGTTAAAAACGCCTTTCTTTCTCCAAAGATACTACAAGGAGCTTGTTTACAACAGCTCTAAATGAAGGATTTGAAATAAAATGAACAGGTAAAATTTAACAAGTCTGATAGATAATATCTCCCAAATCTATCAAAAGTAGTGCCAAGTACTTCAGTGTAGCTGAGAGGCATAAATAAACCCAAATGACCATCAAAACTCATCATGGTTTGGAGTTAGCTCTGAGTTTTACAGTTTACAAAGAGACCATAGCAGCCTTGCTTTCCTCAGTTCTATAAGGAAACAAGATACCAGCCTATAGACTCAAGTTGTCAGGTTACCCTGATCCTCTAAAATGACAGAGGGCCAGCAAATCATGCAGACCCATTTTCAGTTGTGTTCCTCGGGTCACACATCCTCCTAGTGAGGACCCAGCCTGTAATCCTGAAAGAAGAAAGCCTAGAGGAGGTGATTGATTTGAAAACTTCTTTCCAGCTTTAAAATCTATAGTCCTGTGATGTGATATCTTAAAGACCTACCAAGGTGCCAGAGGTTCTTGATAGGTGAAAACAACTTCCTCTTGTGAGCCCCCTTAGACAGAGGACAGAACCCTGTTTGTTTCAAGGATAGGTTCTTTTTCGGCTATGACTGAATTGTGGGGAAGGTTTTGCAAGGGGGAATTGGATGTGAAGTCTGTTCTTTTCCTTAAATAGATGTAGTATTAGGACCAGGGTATTTTATTTTGTAATAAGGCTTATATTTACCCAGCGGCAATGATCAGGGACCTATTCTTATGCACAGTCCATGAGGCAAAGAGGTTGGCCTGGTCCTCTATTCTGAGTATTAACCACCAGTAACCATTAAATCATGGGACTAGGTGATTTGTAGTACCCCCAAGTCTGCAGGAATTATTCATACGACCCCAGACATGGAATCACTCTTTAGAGCTTCTTAAGGATGATTTAAAAGAATCAGAATACATTCAAGTCAGCCCTTTCTTTAATCCTGTAACACGGCACTGCAGGAGTGAGGGAGGCCCACATAGTGATGCCAACTGGTTACTGAGGAGAGGTCAAGAACGAAAGAAGAAATGACATTCTGGAAGAAATTCAACTGGTATAATATTTGACAAAGTTACTTTCCTAGGAATTGAAAAGAGATTGAGAGGCGGGTGCACGATTTTCCTCACCATGCATTCAACTGAAAGTAAAAGAGACTCACCGAAAAGTAAGTGTCTATCTTTAGAACAATTTCAATAATCATTTTCTCTTTCTTTCTAACTGGTCTTCTGTTCTGGTCAATTTCTTTCAGTGTAAACACATTGATTTGGCAAAAAGCAGTAGGAAAATGTGGCACTCTGGCACTTGGTCCCAGAAATAATGTGCTGGGAAGATCTGAGGTCCCTGGTGATGAGGTTAATTATATATAAACCAGGCCTGGTGGGTTCTCCCTCTAGGGGCTCACTGCAGAGAATTAAAGAGGGCTGAGGTATGAGAAGGGTGAATTCTTTCCCAGCCCCCACTCCGGCTGGTTCTACTACTGCCTTAGGGAGCAGATTTCCCTTTGCTCTGCAGCGCCCCCATGGGGCTAAGAGTGGAGTGGCAAAGGGAACACAGGAGGGACAAGCTGTGTGTGTTTCAGGTTTGGGGGGGCGGTGGATGAGGCTAAATGGCAGTTTTGACAAAAAAAAATGTGACCAAAAATCAGAAAAGTACTCTTTTGAAGGACCAATAATAGGGCAGAGCTATACAATTCACATTCCAAACGATATAGATAAATCTCAGAAATCCCAAAGTGCTAATTGCTCATAAAAGAAAAAATTATCACACATATAAACACACAAGGAAAATCCCTTCCGCAAAGTCGGGGTGTCATTTTGCATCCAGTGGGATTCATTTTAATCTCTTTGAAAATGAGAAGGAAGGGGACTCAAATGAAAAAGCAGATAGTCTGCCTTCTGGCAGAATAAATCTGAACTTGACAATATCATGTGTCTTTGGGGGTAAAACGTACATTTCAACAACAGTGACAGGATTAGGCCTATGTATATTTTTCAAAAACCCTTCACAAGACAGGCTTTTCTGCAGAGGCTGCAGTAATCCATCTGTCAATAAGTATTAAAATATTCAAATTTCACAGGGACAGACACTCAACGCATGTTTCCTAAACTCCAGCCCTTGTGGAAAATAATCAACCTCTTTGCACCTTTCTGGGTTTTAAAACCTAAAATACAGCCTTTAAAAATGTGTGTGTGTTGTGGGGTAGTGGGGTGCATTGCCAACAACATTTTCAGTGATACATGGAACTTCTTACGGGACTGACAGTGAAAGAGATTTTCCAAATATCCCAGCAAACAGCAATCTTTCACAGCTCTGATCTCTCCTCCATTATAAACCCAAATTTTGGGTTGGGATAGGTAGATTATTTTAGGACATATCTTTATTAGAAATTAACAAGTGACGAGATTTTGTGGAACCTTTAAGAACTCATCTGTAATTTAATAAGTCGCTTGAAGGACTCCCATAGCCAAGGCTCAGAACAGCCTGACCTTTGAAAGCTGCTTCTGGTCCAAACATTTTGGGCTAATTCTTGAGGAATCTGAAATATTATTTTCCCCTCACACCCTTCTTTTAAGAGAGAGACATAAAAGAAACAAGAGTCTCCCTTATTCAGGGATGAGTAGGAGGGGAAAAAACCCCAACCAACATTTAAATAAGGAAACTAGCAGCTCTGAACAAACAAACTAGGACCCACAATGAAATGATTCTGCACTGCAATTGCCTTTAAAAAGAAAGTAATAGAGAAAAAAGAGAAGGAAAGATTTTCCCCTTCTTCTCTCCCCCCCTCCACCCCCAACTCAGCTTCAAAGCTAAGACGACTGTGCTGCGTGTAGTGCGTTGTAGTTGTAGCAGTCTGTTCTAAATACAGGCAGTATCTGTGATACTGGCACGGCAGGCCTTTAGAATTCCCTCCGGCTGATCTCTTAAACACAGACTGAAGAGATTTTTTTACAACGACCTTGAAACGAGCCCCGAAAAAAAAATATCAAGACCTTAAGAGAAAACAAAACACAAACAGGTATGTGGCTCACAGAATTTTGTAGAAAACACACACACATACCCCCCCCACCCCCTACACACACACACACACACACACACACACACGTTTCTTGCAACAAGAAATTTCCTAAGAGTCAACAATAACAGATTAAACCCACCACTTGCTGTCCTGGAAAGAAACAAACCAAACCAAAACAAATCCTTTGAACATTTCTCTCAAGTGCAGGAGAGACACACTTCAGCAAAAGTCCAAGGGGAAAAAGAAAATTGCACCAAAGGAAAAAAAAAAAAAAGTGGGGGCTGGGATTGTTACATATGGCCAAAAATTTAAGCTTCTTTCAACAGTGTTAGTATTGAAATAACACATCTTCTTTAAAACGCTTGAGGGATTAGATAGGGAAAGAAAAGGCACGCACAAAAAAATCCAACCGATGCCGATCCTATGATTTACGTAACACCACAAACTTGCAAAAGGCAAAAAATCAGAAGCAAAAATCCATAAACCATCAAAATACAGCAACCAAAAATCCCAAGCCACCACACCAGAAAGAAAAAACCCCAGAACGACAGCAAAAACCCCTGTCCTAAATAAAAATAAAGCAAATGAACCCACCGAAAACTGCTTGGCAAATATTTTTCTCGTGGTGCCTAATATTCTAGCTGGAAAGAGCTGTGGTGTTTATTGTTTTTTTTTTTTTTCTCTCTCTCTCTCTCTCTCTCTTACTTGCCTCTCTAACCCTACTATATATAACATACTTTTTCCAGTGGTTCAAACCTCTCGCTCCCTTTTGTGCATTTAGCTCGATCTGCTGAGTTTATGGGTAAGAGAGGAGGAATTAGCCCCAGACCCAGGGAAAGCAAAGCGCACTCCCCCTCTTATGTCACCGAATAGCAAATTAGTTCTCAGAATTCCAGAGGCCGAGCTTTGCTACAGCGAAGGCGCCGACGTCACAGAGGAGGAGCCCACGTGACGGTGGCGGAGCAGGCCATACCATCGTCATGGGTCCGGGGAGGGAGAGCCACATTCAGGCCCCTCGAACCTCGAACCGGAACCTCCAAATCCGAGACATTCTGCTTATGAGGACCTCGAAATATGCCGGAGAGTGAAAAAATCTTGTGGCTTTGAGGGCTTTTGATCGGCCAGGGGAGGTAAAAAGCTCAGAGAGCTGACACCAAGTCCTCCCCTGCCACGTAGCAGTGGTAAAGTCCGAAGCTCAAATTCCGAGAATTGAGCTCTGTTGATTCTTAGAACTGGGGTTCTTAGAAGTGGTGATGCAAGAAGTTTCTAGGAAAGGCCGGACACCAGGTGATTATTGCTGTTGCTGCCGCCGCCGCTGCTGCTGCTACTGCCGCCGCCGCCGCTGTTGCCGCTGGTGCCGCTGCCGCCGCCGCTGCTCATGATCATTATTTTACCTTTTAATTCTTTTTTTTTCCGCTCTTGCCAAATGCTTTGGCTCCAAGTTTTCTATGTGTATCTATTGATATAAATGTATATATTTATTTATTCTAGCTGTCAGGTGTTAAAATAAATGCCGAAGATTAGTCCCACGTCTCTCCCACTCTAGGATATAGATTTTTATGTATTTATTATTATTGTTGTTGTCTTTGAGTGAATCGGCCGGTTCGGGGAGGCTTTTGCCACCCTCCCTTGTGTTGTTTTGGTTTTTGGAAAGGAGGTGGAGGCGAGGAAGGAGGGGAATTAGGGGGCGGCCGGAGCAGAGAGGACGAGACAGTGCTTGGGGGTGATTCGGGCAAGTCTGGGGGCTGTCTGGCCCCAGACCGCGGAGAGGACGCGCGCTCGCGCTCTCGCTCTTTCTGCTGCTGCTTGCGTACGGCTTGTGATCTCTCTGGATTCGTGCGGCTGTGTTTTTTCCCTCTTTTCTCGCTTGCAAACTGCTTTCCTTGCTCCCTCGCTGCTGGCCTCCCCTTCCCTCCCTCCTCTTTTTCCTCGCCTCTTCTTCCTTCCCTTCCCCTGTCCTTCTGGGTAACTCCGGGAGGCAAAAAGGGAGGCTGCCCGCTCGCTCGCCCCGCTGGCTCTCTTCCATCGGCCTCGGTCTTTTAGATTCCCTGCCTGCGAGCCGAACCGAGATTTGGAAGGAAAAAATGCAAGCGAACTCCTCGGGTTTTTGTTTTTGTTTTTGTTTTTGGTTTTTTTGGTCATAAATCCAGATAAGATGAAGTATCGTGTCTACTATTTCCTTTCAGAGCCGTGATCTTCCTAACGAGAGCCGAGTGTTTTGGTGTCCCCTGCCCCTGTGTTTTGGGGAGCTTGGGGGCGGGGATGTTGAACACTTTGAAAATTATTCTTTCTTGGTTGTAGTCGAGGGTGTCGGGAACCTCCGCGCGCTCTCCCTGCCCATCCCGAGGAGAGAGGCTGATGGCGGGACAGGGTTTCTGGGGTGGGTGGGAAAGGGGTGCGCATTGCACCTGCGATGCCTTTCAGTGTGCGGGGGGACTCAGGGAACCGCGACAGGACAGCCCGGGAGAACGAGAAAGGTGGCGGGATTTCTGGCCGCCGCGGTGTTTGTATTTTGGGTGCTGCGTGACTCTGTGTTGGCTCCCAATGGCTGTTCCCTCCCTTTCCTAAATTTTATTTTATTTTTTTTCCCATGGTACAAGCTCTGTGAAAAGGGAGCTGCGGGCCTGAGCGTAGTGGACGCCAGGCTTCAGATTCCCGAGGTCCTTACCTTGGGCGAGGAGAAAGACGAACAGAGCCCCAGCCCGCGTTCCTTATGTGCAAGACTCGGGAGGAGAGAAGGGCACTTTGTGGCTGTGGCTGGGGGGACCCGGCGCGGGAGGAGCGGGCGCGGGCGCGAAAGGGAGATCTTTGTGAGTGATTTTGCAAAAATAGATTGTGAGGTTGGTTGGATTTGCAACCTGTGGCTCTCCTCGAGGGAGTAAGAATGGGGGAAGGCGGCGGCGGCGGCGGCCCGGGGAGGGAGTGGGTAGAGTTGGAGCCTCAGAAATCGGCTGAGCTCCGGGGGCGGGCGAGGAGAAAGGAGGGGGCGGGCAGCAGGAGCTAGGGGCCACCCCGCTGCCGGATGTAGTGACCGTGGTAAATGTCTTGAGAACTGTGGGTTGCGTTGCCTTTATGATGCCGTGTTATTGGAACCCTGGCGAAAAATGGAACTAGTGTTGCAATAATGAGTTTTAAAGCTCCCCCATGGAAAACAAAAACACAACCAAACCGATTTTTTAAAAAAATGAAAAAAGACCCTCTGTGTTGTGTTCCCTTCTACGATGGTTGAGTTGGTGGCTGGGGTTTGGGGGTGGGGGGTCCTGACAGTTGAGCAGATAAATGACCCCAAACCAGGTGCTGAAAGTCCCAAGCTGTTACAGGGCCCCTGACCACCTCAAAGAGCCAATCTCCACTCCACCGCCCCCCCGTCCCCGCCACCCCACAACCTGCCAGGATTTAATCTTTTATGGATTTTTTTTTTCAATCAGTTTATAGTTTCCAGGAGGAAAGTCTTGTAACGCTTTACTTTTTCTCTTCTTTTTCAAAAGTAAAGTGAGTGTCAGTAGATGTGTTTTTTACAGTCTGGATTAAAAAAAAGTGGGGCAGGAGAGAGGGAACCAGGGAAAGGGCTGTTTAGAAATACAGTTTGTGGCTCTGAGCGATGCCACCGGCTTCCTCTACAGAGACTGCCAGTTTCCCTTTTTCTTTGCAAGGTGTGTGTGGTTTTAATAAATAACTTAAAAAAAAAGAGGGGGCGGCAAGATCCATCAGGAGACAGGTATCTATTTTGCTCACTATTTACTACCAAGAGCCTTTGGCACTAGAACAGAACCTCGTAAATCTGCAGCCCAAGTTGAAGTTCATCTGGCCCTAGTCCACACGCTATTCCTGGAGGTAGCAAACATGAGCTCAAAGGAGAGAGATGAAATCACATTCTTGCTTTAAAATACATACTTTTTTAAAAAAGACGAAAAGGTATTTGTCTCTGGGGGAGGAGGAAATGGCGAACAAGTACCAGGAGATGGGCATTCCCTTACTCTAATGACTGCAGTTGAGTCTTCAGGCCAAAATAGAAACCTGTAGATGGGAGCTCTCTCTCCACGCCCCCCCCCCACCGCCACCCCAAGTTTATAAATAGAAGTTTCCAGTATCCTCAGTATCCTATTTGGAAGACTTTCCAATACTAGAGGCTGAAGCATTGGCTAGTTTTAAGGATCTGTTGATAGGGACAGTAAGGCTAGATGCTGTTCATGAAAACTAGGGACTTGAAGGAGACAGCCAGACAAAGTGGGAATTCTCCAATTGTCCCTTTCCTCTTCTTTTCAGTTTTGAAGGGTTTTATTCCAATGCTTTCTTGAAAAGACTAACTTATTCTGGGTTTGGTGGATAGGAATGGGACTCTAAATTCTTAAGCTGTCGTTTGCTGAGCCCTTGAAGAGTTCCAGTTATTGGTTGAGTAAATGGTAGCCATGGCTAGATGTCAAAACCCTTCCTTCCCTCTATCAGGGTAATGACACTAACAGGGTAATGACACTCACAACCCACTTTGTTGTGAAAAACTTAAGAGATTTAGAGGAGGCGGTACAGCAGCGCCACCCCTCGGTGGGTGAAACTATTGGCAAAAGTCAATTTTTGAAAAATATTGGGAAGTGAACTTATGAAACATTTTTCCCCCCAGAGATTTAAAGAAAAGGGGGGAGATAAAACTAACGGATAAAAAGGACTTCGCAGTTTATCAAGTAGGGAAGAAAAATGTTGCTTTCCAACTAGGATGGTGTTATAATAGGCAACGTGGTTCATATATATATATGATATATATATATATACACACACATGGTGGGGGGAGGGTCCCTGGTTGACTTTAAGTAGAAGAGTCCTCCAGGCGGAGGTAGCCCGACCTTCCTCTTGGACTGACTTCTCAGGGCATCTTAATTCTGCTGCCTGTCGGATACCGAGATAGCGAGGGATGTTTAGGTGTAAAACACCACAGTGGCTGGAAATGCTGTAGTTTTGCCGGCGGTGGCAGGACGTATGTGTAGGGGGTGTGTTGAGGAGGTTTGTGGATGGCGTGGAGCAATGGTAGGCTGGTCTGTAGCCCTCTGTGAGTCAACATCGAATGGCGCGTGCCGGTTTCCAGCACTGCGCAACAAGTGGGACCGCCGCTGTCGCCGCGAGCACAGCGAGGGTGCAGCGTAGTGGTAAAACTGGCTGGTTTCTCTTTGCCCCAGTGGAAGCCAGGAACGGCCCCCCCAACCCTCCCGAGACCCACAACTTCACCAAAAGACCATACCCGACTCCCCACTCCCCCGCTTTGCCAGACGCAGTAAGCCTGAGTGGGATCCAGCTCTCGGCCCCCAGCGCCCCTTTCCTCCGAGAAGATCAGGAGTTTATTCCCGACTTTCTTTGCTGGACGACCAGTGTTTGGCAAGAATATGTGCCAATGCCGTCGAGTGCCATTCTGCTTTTTGAAGACAAGTGCACCTTCTTTCCCTTCCCAGTACATAAAGCTTTTCGGGGGGTGGGGGGGGAAATCAACTTATGATACATGAAACCAGCCCCCAGATACCACGTTGTGGTTGCTACAGGCGAGAGCATCGGGAAGAACGGAATGCCATCCACTAAATTAAATGTTTTCTAGCTTTGCTTTTAGAGGCAATCACACCCCCAACCCTCGCCCCCACCAGACAGAAAATAAAGAGGGGCGGGTAGGGATCAGTGTGGAAGCTGCGGCCGCGCGGCGATTCTCGGACGGGCTGGCCTGCCACCTAGCGGTGGGCTGAGATCGAGTTCGCGGCCATGGGCGGTGGGCTCGCGGTTCCACCTCCCGGGCGGCGGTGCCCTGACCAGATGCTAGGCCTGACAGAAGGAGGGCACCCTCCAATGGGGATGGCATGCAACCTCCAAAGTTTTGACAAGAGGGATGAAAATCAGGCCTCGCTGCTCGCCCATCACTCAGCGATGAGCATCTATTTCCACTAAGAGAAACTACAAATAACCCGCTTCGAACACACCATCCTCCTGTCCCTGTGGCCCTTCTTAGGGGAAGTCGGTAGTGGAAGGATGCCATCTAGGAGCTCAGGGGCTTTGGGACGTACAACTCTGTTTTACAGTTGAGGAAACAGGCCCGACAAGGAGGCTTGTTAGTGGTGAGTTAGTGTCTTAACCAGGACCAGATTTTAAGCTTCTGAATTTCATGTCAGTGACTGAAAGTCACAGGCGGGTTTATCTCAGCTCCTTTTAAGTATTTATGAGAATGGATCGGCTGCCAGAACCATGAGTTAACCTCTTAGGCCACCTTTGTTGCCAGTGCTCATTGGAAACCGCTCCGCAGCAGTCTTGGAGGATTTTTTTTTTTTTTAAAGAAAATATGGCCTAAGATTTTCGGTAATAGACAAGAAAAGCCTAGATGGTGCTGAGGGGTGTGGGTCTCGGAGCTCGTGGGTTTGCGTGTTAAGAGGGAGATTAAGGCCTGGGCCAAAGACTTGCTGGGCGAGCCTCGATCCTGAAATCGCTCCCTTCCCCTTCCTAACATCCTTTGCATAGTAGCCTGGCGAGAAACCGTGTGTGTGTGTGGCGGGGGGTGGGTCATGTGGATAGGCCAGAATTTGTGCCGCAACAGCTCCTCCGTAAAGTTTTCTTTCTCCGAGCTCGTGACTTAAGATGGCAAACGCGCGTCCGCATGCTGGCGGCCCCTAGCGGCAGCCGGCGCGCTCTGCAGCGGGAGACGGCGCCGTCTCCCCCGCCCAGGTCCGCGGGGATCGAATTCAGCCTCTCCCACTGCGGGAGCCGTCCGAGGCCGCGTCGGAGAAACGCGCCTCTGTTCGGGCTGGAAACGAATCTGGGAACGTGTTTGAAGCGCGGTCAAGTTTGACTCATCGCTTTCCAAGGACAGTTAGTGCCTTCCATCTTCATTAACGTGAATAAGGACCTTGGCTGACTTCTTTCCAGATCGGATTTTTAAAGGCATTGTTTGCTTGAGGAGATCATGCTTCTCCCCTCCCCCGCCAGCCCTTTTGCAAAGGCTGAGCCCAGTCCAGCCAGGACGGCCGAGGGATCTCTGCTCCGGGACGCGATTTGTTGGCATTGTCTTCGGGCCCTTCTGGAAGGCTGTCTCGCGCTGAGCGTATGGGGAACGTCCCTTTTGCAACTCCTCTTCAGATCTTGATGATAAAACACATCCCTCTGTTTTATTGCATTTCCTAGAAGCTTGCAGGCTTGCAAGAGCACTTTGGCAGGAAACGTGATAGAAATGAAAGTCAGGACATAATGTCCCCGAACACCTCGGTTATCCAAAGCGGCTGCCGAGGCCATCGCGTTATCAAATTCGCTTTTATCCACTGTCGCCTCCTGCACCCTCCCGTCCCCCAGCCAAGAGGGCGAAGAGTGTCTTCCCCCAAGAATAAAAGCAACTCCGCCGTTTGACCTCACCCCCTGCCGCCGGACCACGGTGGTGTCTGCAGCCGTGCAGCTAGTTGGCTGAGACACCGCTGAGACCGGGAGCCCCACGGCAGGGCCCCTGATGCGGGGTTCACTACGGCAGTTCCAGCCTTATTAAAATTCCTTGTCCTTGTCCCTAAACAGTGCTTTACACTTTCAAATTTCCCTTTGGATTTTTCAGCGGGTTATTGAAGTTATTAGATTACCAATAATCCAACAGCCGGCCTGGCTAGAGAGGAGGGGGAAGGGCGGAAGGCATTCTCCAAATCGGGAGGCTCTGGCCAAACTAGGTCAATGGGAAGGAGGGGAGGGGCGAGAAAGGGCTTGATGGTTTCAAACCTTGATGGAGGGCTCTCTCTAGTGTTAGGCAGCGGTAAAAACACCATTAGGTTGGAGCTCCCGGAACCACGGGACTCCTAATTTCCAATAAATGCACTTACTTAATTTTAACTTCCCAGATTCTCATCTCCACCCCATATTAAATCCCAACCGTCTCTTTCACCTTTATCCTACCGGGCGAAGGGGTGAGAAAGCCTCAATGTAGGATTTTGAGACCAAAGAGGCTCCGTCTTTGCAGACCGACTCTGACCCTTCCGCTGCCGCAGAAGGGATGAGCGGCGCAGTGTGACGCCACTGGCTAGTTTTAGGATCAGACTGCGGCCTTTGTGGCTGAGTCTTTCACTGTCCCCTGACCCCCGAAAGCGCACCCCGGAGCCTGCTACCGAGGCCAATTAGGACATGGCACCCGGGAGGGCCACAGGAAGGCGAGGCAACTTTGGAGAGTGCCAGTGCGTGCGCAGGGGTCGGGGCCCCGGCCTCTGCCGAGTCCAAGCAGTGTCTCTACGGTTTCGGGGAAATCGGTTTCGGAAATCCTTACAGCTTGGCAGCTCCTATTCTAAAGACTTTGGGCGGAAACCAAGGGGAGCTGGGTTCCCGTTCTTGCCAACGTAGGCGGAAGGGGCTTTCGATTTAGTTTTTCTCCAACCTTGCCAGGGGCGCCTATGATGGAGACCCTCAGCCCCTAGGGACTCCATTTTTTTGACCTTGAAGTCTCGCGCAAACATTCCCCTAAAAGAAAGACGGTGAGGGAGAATGGAAGGCAAAAAGAGGGAAAAAAGCAAATAAACTTCGGAATCGGACAACTTAAAGTCTCGATATGAGCCTCGGATTGTATTCGAACTCCTGGGTTCTAGACCCAGCTCTGCTACTAACTTGTCTGACCTTCCCTATTTATAAATGGTTGCGGGTGAGACGTTGGACTAGGTGAACTCTGAGAGCCCTGCACTCGGCGCGGACGAGGGATTTAGGGGAAAGTGTGCTGTATTCCCCGCGAGCCTTCCCCGGCGGCCCCGCCTCCCCGGGTGAATCCCCGGCGGCCGGCACAGCGCAGGCAGCGATCCTGGCGGCTGCCCGGGCCCGACAGCTTCCTGGAAAGTTACTTCTTGTTGGAGCCGGCGATAGGCAAAGTGTGTTCTGTGAAATCCGCAGAGCCGAGATTGACTACGTTCCGGGAATGAGAGGGCTGTGCCATTCCCCTCATTGCCCGCTGCCTTGACGGCGTAACAGGGAAAAAAAAAAAAAAAAAAAGGCATACACACAATGTTAGCTACCGAGGTGCATGAAAGGTTTTATTTGAATGTAACTAAATTAAGGGCCGCCACGGTGATACCACAAAGCCTCCATCGCGCCTTGCGGGGGGTTTCGAGGTGGATCGCCCAGGGGCGGGCAGTCCCTGGAAGACAGGTACGGAGTCGTCGGGGTGGGGTAGCGAGGTCTGCCTAGGCTTGCCCCGGCGCGCAAGGCTGGTGTTTGTGCTCTTATGTGTGAGCGAGAAAATGGGGCTTCCTGGTGCCAGCCCAGGGGAGGAGGAAGGAAAAGGATGGGGTCTTTTGTATTGGCTCGCTCTCTGGCTCTTAACCTCGCCTCTCGCTCTTACTTTCTCTCTCTCTCGTTTCTGCTGTCTTCTCTCTGTTTGCTTTTTTTTTTTTTTTTTTTTTTTTTGGTTCCTGTTTTCTTCTTCAATGGAAAGTTCTTTTAAAGGATCTGCCTTCTCAAGGAGCCTAGTTGGCTATGCACAAGGAAAGCGCCAAAGGAGCTAAAGGGAGGAAGGGAGGAGAAAACATGTAACTCTACCGTGGTGGTTACTGACCCAGCGCGGGTGCGGGTTGATTGGGATGGGAAGTCCAGGTCTGGGGGCAGCCAGCAAGTGGCAGTTTCTCATTGACAGCCCTGCTCCTTGGAGATTGTTTTTGTGGGTAGTCTTTTGTGTGGCATTAGTGGAATGGCTGAATCTAGGAGATGAGTCATATCCAGAACTTGCTGGAAATTGGCTTTGAGATTTGGAGCAAGGCTTCTCACCTGGGGCCTCAGTTCCCTCCCTAATTAAGCAGGGCTGTTATAAGGATAAGATGTAATCCTGAGGGGTGGGAAAGGACTAAGGGCTCGGTAAAAGTACAAACCAAGTACTGGTGGTGCTTCCACACCTGCGGCATTTGGTGACAACACTGCCCACACTCAACCCACACACTCAGGAGTTGGGGGGTGGGGCTCTTAAGAAGAGTTGGCTTACAAAGGAGTGAAACTGTGCCTTGTGTATGTACATTTGTTTTTGGCCAGGCAGAGGCTTAGGGTGAAAAGCCCAAGGCCTAGCTGACAGTGGACACAGGAGAATTTGTTTGTTTCAGTCCGCATCTGGAGTGAGTCATTGCCACTTGTCATGGTGAAATGGCAAATCTGGGCTTCCTGTGGTTCCAGAAGCCTGCGACTGGAAATCCACAAGCAAGCTGGTGGTTGAAGCTGGTTAAAGAACAGCCTAGGTATTCCAGAAGTGTTTGAGGATCCCTTCCATGAGGGAAGAGAGGAAAGTTTACAAGTAAACCTCCCGTGTGTCCTCAGCTTTCTTTTGCAAAGGAGAAAATCCTTGACGTTTGGTAAAGACCGAGTTAGTCTGTCTCTCTTTGCCTATCTCGAGTTGGGCTGGGGAGAAGAGGAGATAGGTTCTTTTGTCTTTTTCTGTCCTCTCCCTTCCCCACTTCCTTCCCTCCAGTCCTCACTCGCTCACATGCACACACTAACCTTGGAGCCGATGGGATTGAGTGACTGGCACTTGGGACCACAGAGAAATGTCAGTGTTTGGTTACAGACTCAAGGAAACCTCTCATTTTAGAGTGCTCATTTGGTAAGACTCAGCAGCCTGGAATGGGGCAAAGTGTTTGTGTGGGGGAAGGAACTTAAAAATGAGATTCACCCACATCAGGGTGCTGTCTTGCATGTTCTACAGCACGTAGGCTGATTTGGAAAGGGGACAGGAATTGGAGCCAGAAGACCTAGGGCCAGGTCACCAACCATCTACATGGCCCAACATGACCTTGCTGGCCTCAGGCCCGTTTACCCGGAAAATAGCTCTAAAAGGTTCTGCTTTTTTTTTTTTTTCTTTTTACAGGAGGAAAGACAGTTTGAATATTGTTTTGTTTTGCAGCCCGCATTTGATCATAAATGAGGGTCTCACACCTATGCTTTTAATGATTTTGTTTTAGAGAAGCCAGTTTGGAAGGAGGTACATATTTCATTAAATCTCTTTAAGGTTTAGTGCTCCCTGGCCAGTTCTCAGCTAAATCACATAGTTAAGTCTTTTACCAGCGGGGAGAAGCACAAACTTGGAAGCAATAGCATTCTGTCTGGTCTTAGACCCAGTAGGGAAGGGAGAGAAAACTTTGAAAAACAAGACAAAGGTTTTCAAGGAATACGTAGACATGACGTCTCAGGCTGTGATTCAGTCTTAATGTTTCAGATAGGCAGGAAATACTGCCTAGCTGTTTGCCTTGAGCAAGCCACTTGAACCCTTAAATCTCAGTTTCTTTGCCAGTGAAATAAGGATAAAGATATTGGCCCTATCGTCCTCGTGGAATCATTCTAAGACTTGAAAGATAATATTATAGCAGGTTTCGAATGACGTCCAGTATATTTAGGCCACAGACGGATCATTATTGTTAATGTTGACAGAACCATTTTTCTTGTTTTTTATTTCCCATAAACTCAAGTGGCCTTTGGATGGTATACATTTTTTCTTTGAAGAAGGAAATGTATGTATGTATGTATGTATGTATGTATAACTAATTAATGTATGCAATTGTACTCCCAGTACTCAGGATAAAAACATTATTATCTCATAGCTTCGGGTGCCTGTTGTTTTCGTAAGAGCAGAGCTGGAAAATGTTTGTTAGCTTGTGGTAAAACCACACCAGCTGGCAAGCTGCAACTATCAAAGCAAAACTAAATGTGTATGTCCTAAAATAAGACTATAGTGGACAATCTTACATTCGTTAAATCAATTTCTGTTTGCTTTCTTCTCTTCTCTGCAGGTTTTGAGCAAAATTTTGGACTGTGAAGCAAGGCATTGGGTAAGTAAATAAAATTATATGCTTTAAAATGTTGGGACAAACTGTTTCTTTTGAATTTGCCAATACATGTGTTTCTGTGAACTTTGCTACTGTTCATTATATGAGACAAGGATAACCAGTTCCCTCTACATCACTCCTAGTCCTCATCCTTCACCTCTGTATTAGACTGTCTTAACACTTGCATGGTCAATCATTGTTACTCTTTCTTTGTACAAACTAATTTAGCCAGCTACTGTGCACCAACAATATGCTAGCTCCTCAAGGTACGAAAGTCAGGCAACTCTAAAGCCTAATAGTAGAGAGAGACCAATGGTGACTGAGATGATGAAATAAGATACTTATGAGAATAGCTGTGAGTTTTGAGAACCTCCTATGAACAAAGAATGTATTTCCAAGTTTTATAACCACATAGGTATTACTACTTCCATTTGGGGAAACCAGAGCCCAAAACCAGTAATCAACCTGCTTAAAGTCCCACAGCTAACAAAAGGCAAGTCTAGCCTGATAATCTTAAAACACAGTGTCTCGACCGGGCGCGGCGGCTCATGCCTGTAATCCCAGCACTTTGGGAGGCCGAGTTGGGTGGATCATGAGGTCAAGAGTTTGAGACCAGCCTGGCTAATATAGTGAAACACCATCTGTACTAAAAATACGAAAAAATTAGCTGGGCGTGGTGGCAGGCACCTGTGATCCCAGCTACTCAGGAGACTGAGGCAGGAGAATCGCTTGAATCTGGGAAGGCGGAGGTTGCAGTGAGCTGAGATTGCGCTATTGCACTTCAGCCTGGGTGACAGTGTGAGACTCCATCTCAAAAAGAAAAAAAAAAGCAAAAAATACAGTGTCTCTCCATTGCCACATACTCACTGCCTCTCAGTGCTTGGCAGAGTATTTGGTATGTGGGAAAAACACTCAACAAACATTCATTCCCTTTGCTTTTCCCCTAACGGACTTTCTATCCCAGCTTGCTGGATAAAAGTTATTTTCCCCATTTTAAAACTGTGAAGAATAATGGCCAGAGTTGGGCTATGAATTGTTCAAAGATCAAACACAAGGGACCTCAGTTGCATTCCGTACCTTAGCAGGCTGAGCCACCTGCTCTGATACCCATGGCAAGCAGGAAACAGGTTCTGGGGGACTAACAGGATTTTGGCTTCTTTTTTCAAGTGAAGACAAAATGGCCTCGCCGGCTGACAGCTGCATCCAGTTCACCCGCCATGCCAGTGATGTTCTTCTCAACCTTAATCGTCTCCGGAGTCGAGACATCTTGACTGATGTTGTCATTGTTGTGAGCCGTGAGCAGTTTAGAGCCCATAAAACGGTCCTCATGGCCTGCAGGTGAGGGGTCTGAAAGGAAAGGGTGGGTGAGTCAAAGTGGGGTGATGGTGCTGGCGGCCAAGCAAGGCGGAACATGGAGGCCTTTTACTGCATCTGGGCGACGTCTCACTTTGTCTCCAGATCTCAGCACCATGACCTGGCAGAGTAGGCTCCCAAGTGAATGAATGAACGAATGCACTTTTAGAAAAGGAAGAGTCATGTTCTGTGGGCAGAGAGGGAGAAAAATTATTTACTGCCCCAAGAAAGGATGTGTTTGGGGCAGACATGGAGAACAACTTCAGTTAACCAGTGAAAAAATGACAGAAGATTTCAAATGAACTTTCTTTAAGTAGCTTAAGCAAGTTAATTTGAAATATTTTGCTCTTTTATGCTATAAATGTATTTATTTTATGCTACAACTGAATCTCCATGGGTGTTCAGAGTATATATAAGAGTTAGTGAGAGTGAACTAGCGATTCTTCATGTTCATCAAGTATTTTGAGTTTTCAAAGCAATTTTATATTACATGATATCATCTCCCTGGATCTTTTTAGCAGCCTTCAGTGTTATGCATTGCACTATTGTCTTCATTTTATCGATGGTAAAAGGAAAGCACAGGGAGGTTAAATGATGTAGAATCAGGGATCTCTATTGCTATTAGATAACTTATCCAACATCTACTCTAAGCACCTGATTTTTAATAGTGGAAATAACAGAGGCTTATAGAGATATAAAAATAATAGATAATGTTTAGTGAATGCTTACTATATACCAGGCATCATTCTATATCCTTTAGATTTTCATTCTTGCCACAACACTGTAAAGTAGACATGATTGTTCCTCCTACTTTGAAGATGAGTAAAGCAAGATGCAGAGAAGCTAAATATCTTACCCAAAGTTGCATAGCTACTTGGTGGAAGTCTGGCTCACTTCTGGCAACCCACTCAGAAAAAGCAGAATCAGGAATCAAGACGATAGCCCAGAATTCTTGTTTACAATTGAGTACTCTTTCTACCACCAGACAGCATGGCACCTGGAGGCATTGCTTGGGGTTTGACTTGGGTCTTCTAGGAATAACAGACCCTCTTTTAATCTATGGACTTTGAGAAAAGCAGTAGAGTATAGATGTAGGCATATTTTTATTTAGTTGTCATTCATACCCAAATTCGAAAAAAAGATAGAATTTAAAAAATAAGTAGAAATGCAATGGAACAAGAGGAAATGCTTATGCCAAAGATAGACTAAGAATAGTTACTGCAATTGGGGGCTAAGTTAACTCTGGTAATCCGTACAGTTAAGACTAAAAGGAAAATAGGCCCTGTGACTTTAAGAAGATTCAGTTAACCCCTCTGATGTTAGTTCCCCTATTTGTAAAGGCAGAGAATGATAGTACCTACCTTGCAGGGCTGTAAGGAGCAAAGGATAATGCATGTACGGTGCTTAATGACTCTCTGACATTTGATAAGCTCTCCATAAATAGCAGCTATTATTAATTACCATAGAAGTTCTGGAGGTAAGCCCAGGGGAAAGGGGCTGAGTATCAGTGCTGACTGTAATGGATCACAGATTCTATACATCTACTAGAGTGGGCTATTTGTTTGTTTTACAGTGGCCTGTTCTATAGCATCTTCACAGACCAGTTGAAATGCAACCTTAGTGTGATCAATCTAGATCCTGAGATCAACCCTGAGGGCTTCTGCATCCTCCTGGACTTTATGTACACATCTCGGCTCAATTTGCGGGAGGGCAACATCATGGCTGTGATGGCCACAGCTATGTACTTGCAGATGGAGCATGTTGTGGACACCTGCCGGAAGTTTATCAAGGCCAGGTGAGTTGCTGCCCGGGTGGAAGCCTCGGAGATGGAAGAGATGGTCCCCGATCAGAAACCTTTGATAATTCATGCATACGGAAAAAATAGTCCTCTACGATATGCTGCAACCCACATTTCCACTCTTTTTGCACACTTCTGCGCTTCTTAACTCTTGTGCCCCAGGCAGACTTAACTCCTGTGGCTATGCAGATAGGTCCTATGCATTACCGCCTCTTGCTTTCTTCCATTCACTTAATATACCCTCTCCTCGACCCATCCTGCAAGGCCAATCTTGGATGCCAGCTCTTCCGTGGAAGTTTTTCTGATTACCACTTTTCCTCCCTCAGCTCTTCCTCTGTGTTGTGAAGCATTTTGCCTGTGCTTTAAACTTTCCTTCTATTTTAATATTTGCATATGTATTTTAGTTCTCCTTTAGACTTCTATTGCAACTATTTACGTATGTGCCTTAGTTCCCTACCAGACTGTGGGCTGCTCAAGATTACAGGGGCTGTCTTACTCACCTTTTATGTCACACTGCTCCTACTAGGCAGGACACTTATTGAACTGAATTGAGTTCACCTGAGGGGTGATAAGACATGACCTTCATTTAAAGGTGAGGAACTTGAGATCCAAAGAAGGGAAGAGCTTCACTATGTGGAACAGAGACTCAGAGCTTAACTTCTTTAGAACCATTTGATCCAGCCATGCTAGGGTGATTGCATCCTCGCTCAAACAGAAGGGGTTTCCAGGCTGTGTTTGAAAACCTCCAGGAGCCAGAAACTCAGTGTTCCCAGAACCACACGGCATACCTTGGACAGTTAGAAAGCTCCTCTTTTTGGCTTCTCTTTAACCTTCTTATTGGTTCTAGCTCCGTTAACTGTCATCATGGTGAGCTTGCCTGTTTATTTCACCCACATGATGTTCCTTCAGGTATATACAGCTAGAGTTCTTTGTCTCCTGTGGGTGCTAATGGTGGCAAGATCATCATTGCTATCATTTACAAGTACTTTCAGTGGATCAGGCCTTGTGCTTAGAATGGCTGAGTAACTTGCTCCATGTCACCTAGCTGCTAAGTGGCACAGCTGGGTTTGCAAACCAGGTCTGGCTGCTCTAGACCAGGGATTCTTGTATTGGCATTTGCTGCCTGTTCTCTATGTAAGCTTTCATCAGCATCTGGGACACGTTCTTTCTTCAGTAGGTTACTCATTTGTGTATGATCCTCCAAATGTGTCATACCAGCATTGTATAAATTCTTCTTTTCCTGTTTCCCTACGTGTAAAATGGAGATAATAATAACCACCTTTCCTTCCTTTCAGGATTTTGCATGGGTGAAATGAGATAAGGGCTTTGAAAGTTTTATGTGAGCTATAAAATTTTATAACATCAGAAGAGCTATAGATTCACACACATGCATAGATATGTGCCTTAAACATACAGGATTATGTCTAATCAGGCACAGATCATGCCGGTAACTCACTTCCCTTCTCTGGGCCTCAATCTTCCCAATTGTAGGCTAGATTTCCAGGCTTCTAGTGTAAATGCGTTGTAATTGTATTTCCCAGCTCCAGAGCCATGTCACCTGTGTCTAGCTAATTCAAACACAGATGGGGTTACGTAAGTGCCACTGGAAGCTCATCTATTTAACCGTCCTGATTTGAGCCCGGTGTCTTTCCTCTTGTTTTCTTTCACAGTGAAGCAGAGATGGTTCCTGCCATCAAGCCCCGTCATGAAGAGTTCCTCAACAGCCGGATGCTGATGCCTCAAGACATCATGGCCTATCGGGGTCGTGAGGTGGTGGAGAACAACCTGCCACTGAGGAACGCCCCTGGGTGTGAGAGCAGAGCCTTTGCCCCCAGCCTGTACAGTGGCCTGTCCACACCGCCAGCCTCTTATTCCATGTACAGCCACCTCCCTGTCAGCAGCCTCCTCTTCTCCGACGAGGAGTTTCGGGATGTCCGGATGCCTGTGGCCAACCCCTTCCCCAAGGAGCGGGCCCTCCCGTGCGATAGTACCAGGCCAGTCCCCGGTGAGTACAGCCGGCCGGCCTTGGAGGTGTCCCCCAGTGTGTGCCACAGCAGTATCTATTCACCCAAGGAAACAGTCCCAGAAGAGGCACGAAGCGATATGCACTACAGTGTGGCCGAGGGCCTCAAGCCTGCTGCCCCCTCAGCCCGAAATGCCCCCTACTTCCCCTGTGACAAGGCCAGCAAAGAAGAAGAGAGACCCTCCTCAGAAGATGAGATTGCCCTGCATTTCGAGCCCCCCAATGCACCCCTGAACCGGAAGGGTCTGGTCAGTCCACAGAGCCCCCAGAAATCTGACTGCCAGCCCAACTCGCCCACAGAGTCCTGCAGCAGTAAGAATGCCTGCATCCTCCAGGCCTCTGGCTCCCCTCCAGCCAAGAGCCCCACTGACCCCAAAGCCTGCAACTGGAAGAAATACAAGTTCATCGTGCTCAACAGCCTCAACCAGAATGCCAAACCAGAGGGGCCAGAGCAGGCTGAGCTGGGCCGCCTTTCCCCACGAGCCTACACTGCCCCACCTGCCTGCCAGCCACCCATGGAGCCTGAGAACCTTGACCTCCAGTCCCCAACCAAGCTCAGTGCCAGCGGGGAGGACTCCACCATCCCGCAAGCCAGCCGGCTCAATAACATCGTTAACAGGTGATTTCAGAGACAGTCTGGGTCTGAGGTCAGGGATTACCTGGGCAGGGTTCCACGTCATTTCTTCTGACGGATACAAGGCTTTCTTCTTTCTTGGCTGAATTGCTGAGCCTATTAGAGGTGTGGAATCAGTGCCTATTGATTGAGTTAGTCTAAGTAAGGAAGTGTATTACACTGAAGTAGTGTATATGTTTTCACAGCAAGAGAGATCATTCCCTTCTGGGGCAGAATAGTGTTCTGTAAATCCCACAGGCACTTCCTGTGGTCTTGATGTGGCAGGGGACCATCCTGCTACCCTTGGACTGAGAGAGATTGTGGGCTACGGAGAAGCTCTGGCTCAGTTTGACCCTGGTCGGTGATCTTTCCGCAGATACTGTTTGGAGATAAACTTGAGGACAACTCTGGGGTCTCAGTGCCTGAGCGGGCAGTCCAGCTCTGGCCTCTGGGCTTGCCAACACACAGGGAGGAGAGGGTGGTCTTGAGGCCCTGCCCCAGGTGCTGAGGCTGTCTTCACTCCTGCCCACAGGTCCCTGACAGGCTCTCCCCGCAGCAGCAGTGAGAGCCACTCACCACTCTATATGCACCCCCCGAAGTGCACGTCCTGCGGTTCTCAGTCCCCACAGCATGCAGAGATGTGCCTCCACACCGCCGGCCCCACGTTCCCTGAGGAGATGGGAGAGACCCAGTCTGAGTACTCAGATTCCAGCTGTGGTGAGTCCCTTTCCCTCCCTCCCCTTGTCAGGGAGAAGGAAGACCCCTCTGCTCCGTGGGTTTTGTGCTCCATTTTACTTACGCTGTTGTCTCTGATTGGAGCAGTCCTCACTTGGAAGTCCACTGGCACTCCAAGTCAGCAGCCGTTCATCCCACGCTTCGCTGCTTAGGGAATCAAGCTAACCAAAGTGAGGGATGGGGTATTAGAGTTAATCTGGTGTAATCAGGACTTACCATACAGTCTTTTAGCTTCATTCCAGCAAAAGTAGCTTGTGGGACTGGCTGCACCTCCCAGAGCTTTCTCCATTCCTCAATACCAGAACGACTGGGACTGACCTGTGTGCATGTTATTCTCTGCCAGGCTGTACATTCTGCAAGGAGAAGCATCTGACCTTATTCATTCTTGCATCCCCCATAGGTAGTAGTAAGTGCCTAGCATGGAGTAGGAACTCAGTAATACTAGTCGAGTTAAAAGAGTTGAAGAGAATTATTAAATTGGAGTTTCTGGATAGTCGGTGGTTGGCATTCCCAGTTTTTACCAGACAAAAAAGTCTAATTCTTCACCCAGCTCTGGCTACAGTAATAGAGCCCAGTAGTACCTAATCAGGGTTAAATCACCGTGACTTGTCATTTTCAAATTGTTACAACAAATGAAAAAAAAAAAAAAATCAGCTGCTTACACCAAGAGATTTGGCACAGGGTCATGGACCCATAGATGGGAGAGCGAGAAGTGTCCCCTCCTGCCCCCTGGCTAGTTTTGCCTTTGCTCTGCACTCCAGTTCTTTTTCTCTGGGCCTCTGTTCCCACTTCCACCATCAGCTTTGGTCTCCCAATCTCACAGGAGGATTTGGAGACATGAGATCCAGATAGGTGCAAGGGTCACCACAGTGTTCATCATTAACTCCTCCTTCAGTGACCTCAAAGTAGAATTGAATTGACCTATATCTTACATTCCTGGAATGCTTTGTGTTTTATTTTGTGTAATATAATATCCTCCTGTGAGGTAGGCAGGACAGGGATTTATTATCTGACTTTGAAGACAGAGATACAGAGAGAGGCTCAGAGGTAAAGGGTCTTGCCTGAGGGCTTCTGTGTATCAGTGTAAATAAAACCATAAACTTACTTTTAAAAATCAATTCTCAGAGCTCTTGGGGAAAGAAAATCTCTGTTGAGTTTTCCTCACACTGGCACAGGCCCTCTGAACACCTATTTGTTTGACCTTCCCTTCTGTACCTTGATTCAGTCCATCTCCTTTCTCCCTTCTCTACGGCTAAGACTCTAAATGCTAAGAAAAGTAAAGTCCCCACAGATCCTTTGCTCTGAGCTCCCATGAAGGTCGGGTGGGTGAGTGAGGGACTGAGGGTCCAGTTTGGCACAGGGGGTAGCTACAGAGGAGAGTGGCCTTAGAGCCCTGCCTCCCTTCCTCGTGCTGACGTTGGTGTCCCCCTACCACCCTCCAACAGAGAACGGGGCCTTCTTCTGCAATGAGTGTGACTGCCGCTTCTCTGAGGAGGCCTCACTCAAGAGGCACACGCTGCAGACCCACAGTGACAAACCCTACAAGTGTGATCGCTGCCAGGCCTCCTTCCGCTACAAGGGCAACCTCGCCAGCCACAAGACCGTCCATACCGGTATGGCCCTGCCGCACATGACCCGAAGTCTCCACAACTATTGGGGCAGGACAGGGAGAGGATCCTAGAGAAAGCTGCGTGGGGCCTGAAGACCTGGTGGGGCAAGGCAGGAGGCAGGCCCCATCCTGGCCTGAACGAGGGGCCTAACCCTGTCTTGTCTTTGCTTGGTGACTTGACTCATCCACTCCCTGTGTCCTTTGTCTTTCCTGAGATGCTCTATCCTGCTTTTCTGCCTTTGCTGGGGTCAGAAGTGTTAATCCCACTGTACAGGTGAAGAGACTTAAGTCTGGGGAAGACAAATAGATTCGATTTTTGTAAAGCTGGAAAAAAAAAAAGGTCTCTTAATTTCTTTTAATAACTTGTTCCTTATCAACTCACATTCCTTTACCAGGTAGCTTCTCATGACCTGATTGTTGTTTAAGATCTCTCTTAGTACTGTAAATGGCCCTATTATCCCAGAAACTTTCATGAAGGAAGGTTCAGCCATTCTATTGGTTTCCTCTGCCTGAGCATCTGCTCAGCCCCAAGCCCCACCCCTCTTGCAAATGGAATCCAGCTGTAGTTGCCACAAGCGGAAAAATATGTTTGTTCTAAAAGAAAGGAACTAGAGCAGCCTGATTGTGTCTCCCTGGTGAATGAGTTGATGAGTGAAACTGTCTTATCCAAGGGAAAAGCTAGAAGAGTCTTCCCAGGTAATCTGAAGTAGCCCCTCAGGTTGCAGAAAGGGAAACTGAGGCCCAGAGAAGGAGAGTGACTTGTCCAGGTTTCACAGGCAGATAATCCTAATGACAAAGCTGCTTCTAAAGCCCAGGCTTCCTGGAGCCTCCCCCTCTCCTATCCCACACCTGGCATTGTTGCTACTCCATGCCACCACTTGTTTCTTGGCCCTGGTCCCCTGCAAGGTATGCGGGTGTGTGTGTGAGAGAGGGCTGGCAGGCATGGGGCAGGCCCCTGGATTCTCTCTCTGACATTCCCTAAGGGAAAGGAAAACACAAGTGGCCTCAGGGAGGAGCAGGCTGCTTAGGAATCCGGGAGCCAGGGACTGCAGAGACCTTCCTTACTGAATATGGCTTTTCTTTTTCCCCTTTTCTCGGTAACAGGTGAGAAACCCTATCGCTGCAACATCTGTGGGGCCCAGTTCAACCGACCAGCCAACCTGAAAACCCACACTCGAATCCACTCTGGAGAGAAGCCCTACAAATGCGAAACCTGTGGAGCCAGATTTGTACAGGTGAGCAGAGTGGCCCGGAGAAAGGCCCAGTCAGTCCCTGTGTGCTGATGAGGGGCTGCTCAGAGGCCTGCAGCCCACCCCAGATGACCTCTCATGCTTTCTTCTTCGTTCAGGTGGCCCACCTCCGTGCCCACGTGCTCATCCACACTGGTGAGAAGCCCTATCCCTGTGAAATCTGTGGCACCCGTTTCCGGCACCTTCAGACTCTGAAGAGCCATCTGCGAATCCACACGGGAGAGAAACCTTACCATGTACGTAAGCCTCCTGAGGCCGCTCTCTGGCCTGCGGGGATGTGGAGGGCAGGGAAGGCGGTGGAGCAGGGAGACAGTAGAACTGTTTGCTCCCATGTCAAGCACACAGTGGGGCAACCACTATACTAATGGCTGGAAGACCTAGATCTGAGTCTGATGGCCAGACACCCTGCTTGACCTTGGCCCAAGCCTTAGGGCACTCATCTTTAAAGTGGGGGTGTCAGACTAGGTGATCTGGGCCTTAGAGAAGAGTCTAGACTGTGGATGCATATATTTGATTCCCTCCACCTGGATTCATTCATTTCACAAATGCTTATTGAGTGCCTACTGGACACCCCATACTGGGCTAGATGCACATTTAAGAGGAGCTAAGGTGCTTGAGAAGGAACAGTCTTAGGAGGAGGAGAACAAAAAGAATGTTATAAGAATTAATGATGTTACAAGAAAAAATTATTTAAAAAAAAACATAGAGAAGAGTCATTTTAAGAAAGAGGAGGCGGCCAGCCGTGCAGCACGACACTGTGGGTGGGTCCCTGGGGTTGTAGTGTTCTAGGGCTGGTCTCAGCAGTTACAGCCTGTGTGCCAGTGTCTGAACATTCCATGGACTAGGAATGGTTTTTACAATTAGAAAGTAAAAGAATATTTTGTGCCGTGTGCAAAGTATATGAAATTTAAATTTCATTGTCCCTAAGTAAAAGGTTATTGGAACACAGCCATGCTCATTTGTGTACATTTTGCCTATGGTTGCTTTGAGGATTTGATGACATCCTTCTAAGTGGTGATGGGAACAAGAAGTAATCAATGAATGGTTAACCTACCTACCAGAGGTTAACCAGCAAAAAACATGGTTATTTTTGTTCACTTGTTTATCAAGCTGTGAGTGAATATCTTCTTACTTGCTGTTTGTTCTTGGGCAAATTAGTTATCCTCTTAGCACCTTAATTTCCTAGTCTGTAAAGTGAGTTTGGTGATAGTATCTACTTCATGAAGTTGTAGTATTAACTAATTATTAAAGTGTCGCGTGTAGCACAAGCACATAGTAATAGTAAAATAAATATCTGCTAGGATAATGATTTGCTAGAATTTTAGATGCGTAGGATATCAGAGTTGAGAATGACTTTCAGCCTGTATTGACCCCGCTATTCAGAAGGGAGATCCAAGGCCCGGAGAGAGAAATGACATGCTGGGGACACACAGTGGTGAATGGCATAGATACAGCAGACCCTATGTCTCCCAAGACCAGAGATTTTACACATGGCCCTGCTCATTTTTTATTGTCTTAATCTATTTCCATTTTCACTTTAAAACATATACTCTATCTGAACATTTTTTGTTACCCTTTTTGTTTTAGAATAGTTTTAGATTTATAGAAAAATTGCAAAGATTGTACCAAGGGCTCCAACATGTACCTATTTTATCCTATTGTTAACATCTTACGTTAGTTCCATATATTTGTCACAACTAATGAACTAATACTGATATATAATTACAAGCTAAAGTTCATACTTTACTTACATTTTCTGTTTTTATCTAAGAATGTCCTTTCTCATTCAAGATCTCCTCTAGATTACCCCTTTACATTTCGTCATCCATGTTACTTTTAAGTAACTTTTATCTAAACTAAAGTGCTTGTTACCCATTCGTTGAATTCAATCAAGAAATGGCTCCACTTGCTAATGTTTAGTTAGCTTACCTAAGATACATACCCTACGAAAGAATATCACTGCATTTAAAAACATTTACCCTAGACTCCAGAATATCCATGAATTCAGACTGATCTAGTCCATTTGTCCAGGTGTGTTTACATTAATTGCATAATTGGAATAAGAGGTGCATTCTGTTAGGTACTAGGAAGATTATAAAGTTTAGAGAAAAATAGCCATTACCCTCAAAGTGTTACCCACTTAAGAAGGATCCATGCACACGGAGGGCTGTGTGGTAAAGGTAGAACTCTTACAGAGGCTCAAAGGAAAACAGGGATTATTTTCATCCTTGAGAGATTCAGAAATGACTTAATAATTAGAGGAGTTTGCATCTAACTGCATTTTTGGATAAGACTTGAACTTGTGGAGTTAAGGCAGGGAAGGACATCTCTAGCAAGGGAGAAGCAGAAGCAACACTTGGGAAAGCAGGGAATGGACATTTGCACGATGCTAGCTTATCTGTTGGCAGAAGCCCGGATGCATATGGGTTCTTCACCTGGCCTTGGAGAGGCAAGAGCTGCCCCTGTCCCTCGTAGGGAGAATCTTCCTCTCTGGGTCTTTGAGCAATGACACTTTTCTTGGGTTGATGACAGCTAACAGTTTGCCTCTGATATCCCTGCAGTGTGAGAAGTGTAACCTGCATTTCCGTCACAAAAGCCAGCTGCGACTTCACTTGCGCCAGAAGCATGGTGCCATCACCAACACCAAGGTGCAATACCGCGTGTCAGCCACTGACCTGCCTCCGGAGCTCCCCAAAGCCTGCTGAAGCATGGAGTGTTGATGCTTTCAAGTCTGCAGCCCCTTCTCAGAATCTACCCAAAGGATACTGTAACACTTTACAATGTTCATCCCATGATGTAGTGCCTCT